CACAGCGTCTCCATGCCGATTTCGGCACACCTCTCGCGCGGATCGTGCCCCACAGGGAGCTCAAGCTAGGGCCCCAGCAGGGTTGTTCCATGTTCTCCGTGCCCATTTCGGCACGCCCCGAGCGCGGTTCCCTATGAAGTCTTCCATTTACGGCTCCAGCGGGCGGGCTAGCATAGCGCCCCCCCGCGCAGTTCGGCGCACCAGTCACGCAGGTCTTGCCCCAAAAGGAGCTCCAGCTAGCCCCAGCGGGTTCGTGTGTGTGTATGTGCGCATGCGGTCCGCATCCCCCTTTTTGCATTCCCCAGAATTAAAATCCCTTGCGCGGCTCGCAAAACATGAGAAGAGATCCGCGCCCCGCGCTACACGTGGCTGCACACATCGAACAACTCCAGGACGCACAGAGAGCAACTGCGCCCCCATTGGTGCTTAGCACTTCTCGAAGGGAAGACTTTGCGAATGTTTCTGGTGAGACGACCGCCCGAAATGATGTACACCGATGGGGCCTAATGGACACCACACATCGTTCTTCATTGGCCTGAGTGGCCAAGGGGTTGGGAAAAGGCCCTGGGCCTTGAGTTTCCTTCCGCTGCGCCGCGCGTCCTCCTTCCCATCCTGCCCTGGAGGGCCCTCGCCCTCCCAGAAGGTTTTTTGTTTCCTCCGAAGGCCGCGGGAGTTCTCAGAAGCCCCCCGGCCCTAGAACGAAGGTCATATGGAATAGGTGCTGGTATGTTGAATAATTTCAAAGTTGCCGTAAAACAGGTTACGGATATAGGCGCTCAACAAAAACTGTTCGACATGAGTAAATTACATGACGTATGATAGTATTTGTAAGCGCTCACACGGAAACGGTGTTTGCGGCGCGCAGCGGGTGCCTTGCTGGGAACGCCGATTGCCATGGCAACTCAGGCCGATCATGCGTCCTGCAGCGGCGCGCGGGATCGGTTTCCATGGTTCGGTTTTGGGGCCACTCGCGGCGGGGGCGCGCTATGAATTGGCGCGGCGCGGGGCCTGGCGTCGCCCGTGCGCGTCCAACAAATTATTGGCGAAAGGCCCGCCCATCCGCAGTTCTGATAACAGTTTCTCATTGAATTTCTTCGGGGGCCAGGGCGCGCGTGACAGGGGCGCGCCGACATGGGCCGGGGCCGCCGCGCGAGCGGTGCCAGCGGGGTCGGGGCTTTCAGGTGAGCTACGAGCGAGGCCACGACGCGCGTGACAGTTGCGCGAATATGCCGCGCCCAGCCGCTGCCGCTAGGGCCTTCGGCGGGGTCCCCCGTCGAGCCGCGAACTGCGCGAGGGTTCTGCAGGCGCCGCGCGCGGCCGCCGCCTCTGGGGCCTTCGGCGAAGGCCCCCATGGGGCCACGACGCGCGCAAGCAGTGCCCAAGTCCGCGCGCGGCCGCTGACGCTGGGACCATTGGCGGGTTTCCTTATTCGGGCCATCGAACGCGCGAGGGGCGCGCAAGCGCCGCGCGCGGCTGATGCCGCTGGGGCCTTTGATGGAGCCCGGGGAGTGCAAGCGCCGCGCGCGGCCGCTGCTACCACGGCCTCGACGGAGTCGCCTGCGGGGCCACGAAGCGCGCGATTGGGGTGCGCAAGTAGGGCGCGCAGCCTCTGACACTGCGGCTTTCGGTTGGGCAGATGCTTGATGGGCCTGCGAGCACCGCGCGCGGCCGCCGCCGTCGGGGGCTTCGGTGGGCCCCCCATCAGGGGCGACGGCTGGGGCCTCCTTCGGGGCGGCGGCATTTTTTCCGCAGGGCCATTGCCCTTGGGGCACCGCCCCATGTCGGCGACGCTTTCTTGAGTATATCGCCGCGGGGGGTGGCGCGGCGCAGACGTCTTCTGCGCAGCCGCGCGGCCGCGCCCCTCGCCCGGCGCCGCCCGCCTGCCCCCCCGCCTAGCGCCGGGGGGCGGCCGGGCTCTCATCCCAAGGGGGCAGCCGCATTCCGTCGCGGGCCTCCCGGGGGGCGTCTCGCTATTCCACTTCGCCCTCGCCGGCTGCCCCGGGGAAAACGTCGTTTCGCGTTCATTTTTCTTGCATGTGCACCGATCGGGGCGGCCTGTTTTTTCGCGTGCCCATTGAGCATTTGTCGTGCAAAACTAGGCGCCTCCCCGGCCATTCATTTATTGCGTTTTTCCTGCGTAAATTCATGCGAGAAATGCAACCGCAAGGCAAGACATGCGAGAGAGAAATGCGCGCGCGGAGTCGGCGGGCGCCTCGCCTATTTCGGCCGCCTAATCCTTCTTGCCGTCTTCAAATGGGCGCGCCGAGTCCCTTGGGGATTGCGCATGCGGGGCCTATGTGTATGTTTTTTGTTGCATTTCGATTGGGGCACCTCGAACGCACATATACGGGTCGCGGCCGCCCGGGAGCCGCGCCGATCGAGGCCCCGCGGCGATCGCGCCGGCGTCTGGCGCGGAGCCTGGGGGGCATACTTCGTCGCCCCAGGTCGCGGTGGCCATCTAGCAGCAATTTTGCGAGCCCTCGACTTTGCAGCCCGAGGCGCTGGCACAATCGGCGCGGGCTTGGCAGGGCGCGGGCGGCGCCGCGGCCCGGGGTCGCCGCGCGGGGTCGCGGCGCAGGGGGAATAAGGGGGTGAATCTGACAGGGCGGCGGGCAGGACGAACAGCGCGCGAGTGGGAAGGGGGGGGGGTGGGTGGGATCGGAAGGGGGAGAGGGGGGGAAGAGGGGGGGGGAAGGGGGGGGGAGGGACGAGGAGCAGGGAGGTCCGCGTCGTCGGCGGCAGTCTGGGGGGCGTTCTTGACGGCTCACTCGCAAGTCGCAGCGGCGGCAGCCGCGCGGGCCGCGGCGGCGCGCCCTTGACGTCGTCGGCGCGCGTGGGCACGCAGGACGTTTTAGCGTCGGCATTCGCACGATGATGGTACAGTAGCCATATGAGAGCTTGGCTCGCAGGAGTGTCGGGTGGCCCGCGGCCGCTGCACCGGCGAGTCGGCCTGTGGCCTCGCGCGGCCCGGGCCCGCCTCCATTGACTTTTCCCCGCCTCGTCGCCCTGTCACCCGCGCCCCGAGGGCCCGCTCTTAGCGGCCCCATCGAGGCTGTTCTCGCCGCCGCCCCCATTCAAGTTCTAGTCGCCCCCCCTTTCCGTCCGCTGCGCCCCCGCCTGCCCCCCCCCCCCCTCTCCTCGCGCGCGGGTTTCGTCGGCCCCGCCGTCGTTTTCTAGGCGCCGTCGCTCCTGTCAGTGGCTGAGCTGATACTTCTGCCCCCTTCGCCCGCCCTCCGCCGCGTCGCCGCCGGCGCTGCCGTCGCAGGCGCGGCGTCGGAGATGCGCGGATTCGGCGGAGACGCGCCGGAGTGCAGGAGGGGCCTCTTGGACCCCTCTTGCACTCGTTTTGGCCATTTTGGGGCCATGTTGAAACTTCAAAAACATATCGGAAGCGAGAAAGCGAGACGGCAACCATCACTGACTTGCTTTAGGTTTTTGTATGATTCTGGCTCTCGGGGGGGGCCCGAGGGAGCTCTGAGAGCACCTGAAACCGTTTCGTGGCCCTTGCAGGGCTTCTTGGAAACATGCAGCTTGTTGTTTTGAGCCATGTTGGGCTATCTTGCGTGATCTTGGAGGCTATTTTGGGTTCTTTGATGCCATTTTGGGACCATCTTGACAGGAAGAAGGCACTCTGCCACCTCGCGGCCCCCCGTCCAGGTCCAGTGGAAAGGGGTGTGGGGGAGGAGTCAAGACTCCCTTCCCGCCCGCAAGCCGTCTCTCTCACTCCCACCCGCCTCCCAACACATACGTAGCACCCGAGCCTGGCCCGAGCCACAGCATATTCAGCAGTTGGCTTTGGATGAGCTAATTGGGGCGAATCCGCTGCCGCCGCCGCTGCCTCCGGCGCCGCCGCCGCCCGCCGCCGCCGCCGCGCCGCCGCCGCCGCTGTCCGCCGCCGCCGCCGCCACCGCGCAGCCCGCCGCCCGCCGCCGCCGCCGCCGCCGCCGCCGCTCCCGTTGCCGAGCCGGCGCAGTCGCAGCCGCAGCCGCTGCCGCCGCAGCCGCTGCCGCCACCGTTGCCGCCGCCGCCGCCGCCGCCGCAGCCACCGCAGCCGCTGCCCCCGCCGCAGCCGCCGCAACCGCCGCCGCCAACTGTATTCTATATTGTTTTTGACAAGGATGGTGGGGGGAGGCCGCATCGGGTTCGCTGCTTATGCTCCGAATTTGGAGGCAGAGTGTGTGTTTGCATTGTTTTTGTTCAAGAAGGGCTGGCGGGGGGGTGGCCCGCATGGTCTCGGGTTGGCTCCCAGTCGTTTGGGGGAGGGGGTGTATATCAATAGGGAACAGAGGTCAAGCCCTCCCCGAAGGGGAAGAGGGAGTTTTGGAACAGGGACGAGAGACATCGTTAGACTACCTGCGCCCAAAGGGCTTGTGGGATATGCTTCAGCAGCCGCAGGTCTGGAAAAAATAAAGGGTTGTGTTTGCGTTTCGTGTTGGGACTCTCTCTCCTGGGATGGATTTCGTTTGGGGTTTCACCATGGGACCTTTTGGGCCTTCGCCGAGGGTGGTCACCTTCTTGACACACATTCGTTTGGCCACGTTTCGAGTGCAGGTTGCCCCGGTCCTTCGTTCATCCTCTCTCCAGTTTCCTATTCTTCTGGACCCTTCTGGGATTGGGAACAGGAGGCAGGACTATACTACACGAGCGCCCAGCAACAGCATTGGAGTGAGGACTGCCTTGGTTTCGCAAGGGGCCTAGGGGTCTCCTTGAGTCCCTCCTGACGTGTTTTGTTTCGGGCACTCGCAAATCTGATCGCAAGTGGATCCAATAAGGGACTTCGTTCCCCATGTGCGGGCTGCGTGTGTGGATCCGATCGATACGATTCGGCATCGATTCTGGCTGGCTCGGTCCGATTCGATTCCGATATTCCCATAATCCGAGGTTGCCCGATCCGAGTCGGTTTCTGCTCTGTGCCAATGCAGTCCGATCAGACGCACATTCCGACCAAATTCGGCCTTTCCGATTGGGTGTTGATTTACCCTGTGCTTCATCGTGTCAAGACCATGGCTGGAAAGCCTTACCCCTCAGGCGAGACGGTGGTCCACAACGTCACCAACACGACCGCGGCAGACTGCAGCGAGGTCTCGAAGCCCTCTGGGGGCTACTGGAACAGCTTCAAGTACGTTTGCGGGATGGGCAACCGCTGAGCGTCGCCGGCGGTTGGCGGTACGCCGCAGGGCATGACGCGACGGGAGACGGAAGAAGGTTAGCTATGTTCGATCCTCGTTCTTACGTCGATCCTAGATGTCCACGATGTCGTTGCTTTTTGGAGGTACTCTGGCGGCGTTTCTGGAGGTGCCCGTCGAAGGTGGCCGGGGTGTACTTCAGGTGGGGTCGGAAACAGACTTAGATTTTTAGTTGAAGTGGTGGTCAGCGGAGCAGGGTAGAAGGGTGACTTCTCAGAAGCCCTCCCCGCCTTCTTCGAGGCCTTCGCAGAAGCATGCGGTCCCTTCTAGGAGCACCCCCGTGCCTTCTCGGAAGTCCTCTTCGCCACGTCGAGTGACTGCGTCGGGATAGGCGAGGTTGGGCTTGGAACAGTGGGGTTATGGAAATTGCTACAGTGAGCGGCTTTAATAAGGAACACTTACTTTTCAAAATGGGCTCGGTCGTTCCTTAGGTTTGCATGCGTTATTTACAGTTCCCTATGCGTTATTTGTTATTTGTCGTTCCTTATGCGTTATACCTTGGGATAAGAAAGGGGCTTCGTTCCTTATTTATCTATCCTTAGGTCATGCCGATGTCTGTACGAACATTGCTACTGAACGCAGCATTGAGTATGAGGTGGTGGAGGATAGGAAGGGGGAGGACGAGTAGAGGGAAGGGGAGCCAGAAGCATGCGGCTATATCCGTTCAGCGGCAGTGTCCCCTGACACCAACGACGCATCGGCGATTCCAAGCCAACACGCCCCCCCATAGGTTTGGCTGCGCTGCCAGGCAGTCCTCTTGGCTGCCTCTGGCGCCGCGAAGCGCCGGGCAAGCAAGCCACACGTATCTGATTCACCAACTCTTTTCGTTGCTATCCCCCCCGCGACTGCCCCGATCGTCGTGCCCGAGGGGCTGCGAGGAGGAAGCTTCGAGGATCGAGATGTCCGAGCTTCGCGGGTTCGGGGTTCCAGCTTTCCTTGGCGTCGGCCTCCACGCGGTCATCGGAACTCCGAGAAGGCGCAGAAAAACCACCCTGCGAACACGCACCGCCCCAACGCGGCGGACAATCACAGCAACCGTGAGGCAGACAGCGACCACCCCGACGACTCCAGCGACCACGACGCATCGAGCAACCTCCCTTGCCCAACAGAGCAGACCAGCATACAAGAAGACACCAGTGATGCTCCACAGACCCACGAGCAGAAGAAGGACGACCATGAGCTATGGTCTGACTTCATCCGCCGGAGCACGCTCAGAGCCGAGAAACTCAATGAGCCGAGAAACTCGGTGAGTTTCTCGGCCATCTTGGGCTCCGAGACGCCCTCTTGGAGCCATGCTGGGGCATCTTGGACGCCTTGTCCCATCTCGACCACTCCCACTACAGGTCCATGGAGAGGGGGAACAGGGAAGGTGGGTGATGAAATCCGTAAGACCACCAGCGCCCAGGGGGCTGGTGGGATCCGATGTGCTTTGACTCGTCCGCGCGATGCGCAGGAACCCAGGGTCCCCGCTCACGAGGTGGACAATCCGGGCTCATCCGTGGAATGCGAGTTTGCCGCTCTCGACGATCGCAGGGATGACGCCTTGTGAGGTTTGCAATTGAGTCTCTCTTTCTCCTCCTTTCCCTTGGCCGCCTGGCCCTCGTCGTCCCCGCTTCCCTCTGCCTCCTTTTCGCCCTCCGCCCCGACCCCCTACTTCTCGCTACCATCCTGCTCTCCACGCCCTCTGGCGTTGCTTACCGACGAAGAAGCGGTGGAAGGTACCAGCTCCCGCCGTCTGGATTCCATGGTGGGTCTGTTACCCAGTTTAGGTATTACCCCGTTTAGCCCTCACTGACTAATGAGCAAATGCGACATCGCTGACGTAGAACATATACATCGCAAAAAGGTTTGGCTCTTGGTGAAATCGGTGGACGCACCGAGCGTTGAATTGGAACCCCAGCTTCGACGCGAACCAACGAGGTCACTGGCAGCATGACGACCAAAGACAGCGTGGGAACGACGACATAGGAAAATTCCTGCAGGGCTCATTCCTGCAGGGCTCACAGAAGAACGTCAGAGACGAAGCAACGGACAGCGACGCCAGCGACGCCGTCTATCCCCGACAATATTCCCACTGGCAGTAACGATGTGAGTTTTTTAACGGTTGCGACGGACACGACGTGGTGGGACTCGATTGAGAGCGCCTTCGTTGTTTAGAATTGTTGAAAGCATTATTTTCCCAACATAAGCTACAGCGGGAACAGTTCTTACCCTCAAGCGCCAACACCACCGATCACCAGCATCGACAGCATCGCAACGGCAGTACCCGCACACAGGACCGACCACCAGCGACCACCAACAGTGGCAGCCAGGACACCGACCGCACCAATTCGTTCCTGATCCGGTCCGTGGACGTTCAGTCAAGTCGCCACGTCCTCCATTTCTTCCGATTCAGACGCATATTGTTTTTTGCCTTGTTTGTGCCTTGGTTCCTGAAGTATTTCGTCCACGACTTCAAGTCGCACGCGATAGGAGGACACGGCCTCCTGCGCCCTGCCCGAGTGGTCACGGACACACCTGTGTGCCCGATTCTGGCGCCTTCGCTTCACGTCGCTTCCCTCCCCCTCTCCTTCGACACGGCCACGGTCACAGAGAACGCCCGACTCCCTCTCATCTTCACGCGTGTGCTGCAGATGCGCAAGCCATGTGTTGCGAGCTACCTGGTGCAAACAGGTATTGTTTTTGGGACCTCCTCAGTCACGCGGGTGAAGACACCTTCCTTGCGTGAAGGCTCGGAGGGTCTCGACGCGTCAGCGGTGCCTCCCCGTTCCTCCGCGCCGCCGACCCTCCGCAGCGGCGCCCGCGCAGCCGGCGGCACCGCGCGCAGCACGCGCGCCCGCGCGCGCAACACGCGCGCGCGCGCGCGCCCGCGGGGCGACCTGGCGCCCCGCGCGCGCTGGCGCCTGAAGGCGCCGGCCGAGGGCGGGGCCGTGGTCGACCGATCGACCAGTCGAGGATCAGAGCGTGAATTACCTACCCCGCTTTCGCTTCCAAGCAAAACCAAGCCATACCACGCGCCTCCTCGTCAAGCGGCCTGACCAGTACAGGCTGCAATCTGGCATCGTTTGGTATATCTTGGAAGCGAGGGTGGTCAAAAGCGAGGTAGGTTTGTTTCCCCCCTAGAGGAGGATCTCGAGCAGAGCGAGGGGGGAACGTAAAACGACATGAAGATCGGGACAACATCGGATCGGGAGAACTCGAAGTCTCTGAGAAGCGGCGGGTTTGGAGGACGTGTTGGGCGCCGCGGCCGCTCCAGAGCGTTCCGGAACGCTCTGAGAGCGCTCCGGAACGCTCTGGAGCGATTTATCCCGATCCTGGCCCTGCTTTAGAACGACAGGTCCGAGGTTTCTCGGCCGTGCTCGGGAGTTGTGCGCAAGTTTTTGAGGTCCGGGGTGTTTCCAGCAGCTGCGCCCCGTTGGGAGCGGTCGGGGGGTGCTGGGCCATTCCCGGAAGGGCCGCCGGAGGCCCGAGGCATGGCCCGAGAGGCAGGCAGCGGTCGGGGGTGGACAGAACCCCCAACAGTGACAAGTCGATTAGGGAATTGTCCGTTTTCGGTTCTCGAGAGGGCGCCGTGGCCGTTATTTTCCAGGCTTGCGCCCGCCAGGTTTGGGCCTCAGGTCGTTTTCGCTAAACCACGTTTTACTAAGGGGGGTTCTGTCCATCCCCGATACAGGCCTACCAAATAATGTTCCAAGCACATGCCTGGCTGGGACCGTCTTGTTTTTTAGCGCGTCGGGCTCGTGTTCTAGGAACATTGCTTTTGTTTGTTCCAGCATGTTTGGCGTTCTACGATCATGTCGTGGTAGGCCTATAGGAATGCCAGGACGGTCGGTCCGTGGTCGATTAGGGGGGGATGCAGTCAACCTGGATAGTAAGGATGCGCGATAAGGATGCGAGGGCCTCGGACGCCCACTTCGAAGCGTTTCGAGCGGGGCGCGGCCAACGAAAGTGGCCAAGGATGGACCGAGGAGGCAAGGATGCAAGGGTACCCTTGGGAAGGTTGCCCATCCGTACTATAGTGGTTGACTGTAGGTTCAGGGAGGGACGCATCGACCCCCCAGCGCCCATTCTTCGCCGGTGGGGGCCCGCTTTCCCGCCCCCGCCCACGGGCGTGCGTGCGGATTGGCTGTCGGGTGCCTATCGCTGATCGATCGGCGGTGCATCGCCGATTCCGGAGTCACGTGTTCCGCCCTGGGTTTGAGTCGGGCCTTTCTCTCTACAGGAGGGATATTCCAGAAATAGCGAAACACCAGTCTGGGGACGATTTTTTGGGACTGCGTTTGGCCATTGTTTGGGGCGCGTGTAGGGTGTTTCCTGTCTTTCCCCAAAGCTCCCCGTGCAGGGGGAGAGGCCCGACTGAACCCTGGGGGGGGTCTCCCCCAGTGTTGCCCCCTCGAGGGAGATCCAGGAGGATCGGGGGACGGTCGGGGAGCGAAGGATTGCAAAAAAAACCCAATCTTGAACGAAGGATTGCAAAAAAACCCAGTTTTCAAAAAAAACCCTTCGGTTTTTTTGCAACCCTTCGGTTTTTTTGCAATCCTTCGGGCTTTTCTTTGCAATCCTTCGTTCCAGTGTTGCCCCCTCGAGGGAGAGCCAGGAGGATCGGGGGGCGGTCGGGGAGCGCCGCCGCCGCATCCAGGGCAGGCGCGCTGCCCCTCGGGCTTCGGCGTGCTGCATCGGCTCGTGCAGTGGAGGACGTGCAGGTGCGGCCGCCTCGCACGAGCACGATAGAGTCGTGATGGGAACAAACACACAGACACAATGAATCGTCGACGCCCAGGAAAAAATGGAAAACCTTGGAAGTGGGGGGGGTAAAATGAACACCCAGAAATTATGGGAACAGATGGGAAATTCTTGGATTTGTGCCTATATATATATATACATATATGTATGTGTATGTGTGTGCGTCCCTGGGCCCCTTTGAAGAAAGAGGATGCCTCTGGTTCCCCCCCCCCCTCCCCCCTTTGCGTGCAGGAGCAGGCACGTGGCAGTGAGGGACAGGTCGTAGCAGGAGCTCCTCCCCCCTGCTCCTACCCCCTCT